TGGTTCCATGCTTACACACGCAACCACAGGTTCAGGAGTCCTTTCCGACCTTTCTTCTAAGGCAGAAAGCCCTGGACTTGCTTCCAAGACTTTGCTACTCATTTTGGCTTCAGAACACACATTTTCCCCTAAGCCCCTTGCCACTGCAAGGGTTCCAGGCTGCAAGACTGCTTCCAAAGCTTGTATCTTTGCCATACCTACAGACACCGGGCCTTCTAAACCTCTCACACCTTTCACATGCAGGTGTGATGCAGATGTCTTCATCTCTGTCCCAGCTCTGTCAAGGTCTGCTTCTGAATCTTTCCTTTCTGTCTCTGCTACAAGTCCCACAGTTGTTTCCAAACTTTTCACTGGTCTCACAGATCCCACTGTCATAGCTAGGAGACCACCCTCTGAGCCTGCTTCTGCTCCTGTCATACTATCTAGACTTATTTCTGAACCTTTCAACGCCGCTCTTGAACCTAGTGTAGCTGCTAAACCTCTGGCCACAGTCCCACAAAGCGTGGCTTCTTCTGAGGCTTTCACGCCTTCCATTTGCAAAGACAGTGAAGCTGTTTTGAAAGTTTTTGCTTCCACCACAGCCACTGACCTTAGGACTCCTTCTGGACCTTTCACATCTTCTTTCTGCAAAGACAAGGGAGTTGCTTCCAAACCTTTCACATTTGATTCACTCAGCTTCTCTGGTTGTCTCAGTAATGAAGTACCTTCTGAATCTTTTGACTCTGTTACAGCTACAGACTTCAGAGTAGATTCTGAAATTTTTGAAGCATTAGTATTTTCCTGTTGCAGAATAGCTTGACTTGTTTCTTGACCTTTTACTCCTGTTAGTGCTGCAACTTCCACAGTTGTTCGTGGACCTTTAAAACTCTCCGCCATCTGGATTTCTGGAGTTGTTTGGGGAAGGGAAGTCTGCATAACCGCTACAGATTCTAGAGTTGTTCTTAAATCTTTTGCCTCTGCAACCACATTCGCATCTGTCAATTCTGCTGGAAGTGCAGATTCCTGGGTTCTATGCATGCTGCTTGTTTCTGTCAAGACTTCAGGTTGTAGGAACACTCCTGCGGCATTCAGCACTGTTGCAGTACCTTCCACGCCTTTGACTACTTCAACTTGCAGACATTCTTGAGCTGCCTTGACTGAGCTAGAGCTTCTAGCTAGTTCAATATCCCTCACTTCTGTAACAGCTCCTGATTCTGGCAGTATTTTGGCACTTTTTATTTCCACCTGGGTCACAGCAGTCGCTGCAGGTATTTTAAAAGCATGTTGCAAAGATACATCTGCCTTCAAGACACTTGAACCCTCCATGGGGCTGCACTGCATCACTCTCAAATTATCAGATATAACTGAGGGCTTCAGGGCTGGCTCCGAAGTTCTGCTCACACCCCCTAATTCCAATGATCTTTCCACATTTCCCATATGCAGAGATTTTTCAGTTGCTTCTGGAATTTTCCCTTCTTCCATGGCCACAGACATGTGAGCTACCTTCACAGTATTCAGATCTGCCTGATTTGCAGATTTCAGAATTGTTGTCACATCACTTGCCAAAGACACAGATGCTGAAGTTGTTTCTAATTCTTTTGCTCCCCCCTGTGCCACAGATTGTAGAGATGCTTCTGAGTATTTCAACACCTCCATGGTCTCAGGCTCAAAAACTGTTTCCAAAGCTTTTACTCCCCCAGTGCTTTTAGATGTCAGAATAACTTCTGAACCTTTTAGTGCTTCTATTGCCTCAGAAGCTAGAGTTGCTGCTGAATCTTTCTGAATTTCAGATGTATTGGAAACTCCAGATGGGATGCTAGATGAAGTATCATTTCCAGTATCAACAAGGACATCCTTTTCACTCACATTAATAGCTATAGGATAAATATTTTCATGAGACTGTTTAATTTGTTCTTCTCTAGTGCAAATTTTAGATTGAGTTATACTAGCATTTTCTTGAATAACAGACTGGCTGCCTTCTAAATTAAACGGAGGATTTGTTGCACACAAAGTCCCCTTCTCACTTCCAAGATTTTCCGCAGATTGCTGAGAATCAGTTCTTGAATGAGAAACAAGTCCTAAAGCTTGACTATCAAGCTTCTCACTTGCTTTTAAGCACAGTTCTTCTGGCTGCACTTGGACAGCCAGATTTGCGTCTCCAAATCCTCCATGCTGTACACTCGATTTGGAGCTTGATTTCTCTGGCACCAAGTGAGAAGCAGGCTGCAAGTCTGCATGTTCTCCATGACGTGTACTCAATTTTGACTCCTTTGGCTGCTTTTTATGCTTTTTCTCTTTCTTCCTTTTCTTCTTCTTTTTCTTCTTCTTCTTACTTTTGTGTTTCTTGTTCTTCTTTGATTTTTTCCTAGGAATTTCATCTTCACCAGTAGAGCTTCTTTTTGTAGACTTAGTACTACTTTTCACAGTATTTTTGTCTACATCTAGAAAAAATGATATTTTTCTTGTAAATGTTATTAAAACTACATTTTAAAAATTCTTTTAGACTAGTGACCAAGTACATGGACAGAAGTACAAAAAATTTAAACTGTAAGTTTAAATTTTAATTTTTTTAATAAAACCCCATACCTTCTTCACTAAACTACCATACACATATAGCAAACGCTCACTTTTCAGCCCTCTTACCTTTCCTCTCAGGAGTCACTGTAAGTAAAAATAAGCAATTCTTCTTTCAAAAAGTTAACAAACTTTTTATTGGTTGCCAACACAGTTCCAGTGGGAACATGACTCCTTCCAAGAAGTAGTCAGATATACTTCCACCTCTGTTCAGCTGGGCAGTGCATTCTTCCAGAAGGCTGGAGATGTGCTTTTGAACTACACAAAGCTGCATATGGAAGTGAAACAAGAACTCCCATTTTCCAGGCAAATTCTCTAAGTGGTGGTATGCTTATTGTATAAAATGTGTCCAGCCCATTATCCCCTATTATGCTTTAAGTTGTGAGTGAGCCCAATATTACTAGTGCATCAGAAATTATCTAAGCATATTTATTGACTAAGTTCCTCGCAGGCTAAGTTCTTCAAACAAATTTGGGGAAACAGCATCTACTTCCCAATCCCAAACAAACTTTAAGGCACTGCAGGCAATCAGCTGCTGAAACTGGACTGCAGTTGCCACAAGCGACTGCAAACCCACAAGTACCCAATTAAGCTTTTGCTTCAAACAGGAAAGTAAGTAATGAATTCAGGTGACTGCAGGGACAAGCAATCATGGAGGGGGGGAAAGAAAAGAGGAAGACTGAGGTCTCAATCATCTTTTAATTCTATACCTCATTTCCCTCTGAATTTAACCTGTGTTCGGTTCCTGCCCTTCTTTGGATCTATCTAGTCCTATATTTTCAGGAGAAAGGCACTTCTATTAAAGGCATTTGTTATAATTTCTGTTAGATATGAGCTATATATTCAAGTCTGCTTGCATGTTATCTTCAATGATTTATACTGGCCAGTGAAGCAATACGGATTCTCCAATTATAATCTGGCTGTGATCACAAAGCATACTCTTGCAAGTAAACAATGCAAAATCATTCAAAAAGTGTTGGTAATTGCAACACTTTGCATTGAACCTGACTTCAGATTCCACAAAAAAGTATCTCAGGTAGTTTTAAGCATATACATTTTTATGGAATAAACAGCTTAACAAAAAATAATGTTTCTACTAACATTGTTGTGAATGAAATGAAAGAGAACAATGAAGCAGAGTCAAATGACCTTTTCTGCACAGCATTTTCAGATAAACTCTGTTGTCCAACAGCAACGTTAGCTCCTTTCCACATATGAACAGTGGGAATGTTTACCATAGGTTAAGTTCATTAACTTCCAGGTTAATAGGTCTCATTTATTGCCATGTTAACTTGCCTTATTCTTCCATGACAGAAGAACAAGAAAAAAAAAAAGAAAGAAACCAGAAAAAAAAGATGCCAGCATAAAGTGCTGCTCATACAGCGTAAGTGAAAGACCATTGAAAACGTTCAAGGTAAACAAGCCACTGTGCATAAAAGAAAAAAAAAAAAAAAGCAATTCCAAAACATTGCAAAGAGAATCTCTGAAATAAACAATTTTCTACACTGCCTCTAAAAAAAAAAAAATCACTCTGGAACTATACTTACCAAGTACATAGCAGTCACCTATGTTTCAACTCCAAAAAATTAGAAATGCAGTAATTAAACTCTTCCAACTCAGAAATTTTACAGAAAGGACTAGTCCCATGAGAAGGGATACTCATATGTAACTATTTGGAATAACAAATCCAGTAATTTATTGAAGTTATGAGGTTGCAATCTTTCAAAGGTTAAGAAATTTTGGTGTAGCAATCTGAGTATCTACATTTTAAAGATAAGTGCATTGTTCAAACAGCAAAGCATCTTACTCTGACAGACCAGCTGACCACACAGTTCTGAATTCTAATAATTTTTTCAAAATAATCTTGCAAACCAATCCAAAACAATACAACAAACAATGCTTCTATCCATCAGTATTAGCTTTGTTAGTAAGAACTGCTCACTGAGACCCTGGAGTAGGTATATACAAAATAAAGCACAGTTATATATATACATATGGATATTATTTATACATTTTAGCATTACTGTAACAGAGAGAAAAGAAAAACAACTTTTTCACACACTAAGCAATGCTTTCATACAATAACCAGCTTCAGTTTTCACATTATGTATTTCTCTGTCCATCTATGGTTGTAGATCACAGTAGAAAAAAAATACTTAACAAACATTACAATAAACATACAACTTGTCAGATGAAGCTCGGTGAGAAGAGCACTACTGAAAAGTACTTTTGCATCTCTGTAAAACTGATTCAATTTTAAGCACTATGACAACCTTCTTAAACAAGAACGTATTTGCCAAATGTGTTTTCATTTACCTGTTTTGCACTGCAGCTCTGTAGCAAGGGCTCCAGAGAGCACTTCCTCTATTTTCTGCACTATCTGATCATTCTGACGACTCCCAGCACCAGCACCAGTGTCATCTGAAGGATTGGCTTGCTCAGCTGGGATTGTGTCACCATTGGGCTGGCCTTCTACCTTTCCACTAACCAAAAAAAATATCAACATAATACAAGCAATTTTGAGCCTTTTATGACCTTTTTTGTTTGTTTTAATCCATAAGCATTTATTATACTCAACCCTTCGATGCAGTATTTTAGCCTCCTGAAGAAGCCATGCTGTTAGTGAAACATCTACCTTTGGATTAACTTTCGCTTAATCACAACAGAACACGTTTCGACAACTGTGAGTATCAGGCACAAGAGATGAAAACACATTCTCGACTGTGCCACAGTCCCCGTGCTTTATGTAAGAAGTTGCACAGCCTCCCCTCATAAAATAAGCACCCATCACTCACTCTTCTCCAGCAGATTTTACTTACTCAACGAGATAAGGCTGGGAAAAACCAGGCGAGCTTTAATGTAGCTAGATCAGTTAAGACGAATTGCACAGACACTCGCCCCTTCACCCAACACAAGAGACCAACACCGAAAACGGGTGCGCGTTCACCAGGAGACAACGCGTGCGAAAGCCCGCCCCTCCCCCCCACACCCCCC